TCTTACTATTCTTTTCACCATGGTCCTCTACCAAATACAGTTTCCAATGATCATTCACCAAAGGGGAAATATTTGGAAACAGCTGAAGGTATTACCATTCTTTGGAGTGATTTTCACCTTACAAGCAAGCAGATGGTGGCTTTTGAGTAGAGAGGTGTGTGCATGGTGAGAGGAGCTGCTAACCTGCTAGTCAGCCCTGGATGGAATGGCTTTGTAGTTAAGTGGATTATAGCATAGCGGTAATCATTGGGCACAGAATAGGTTGATTCTTTCTCATGTCTTCTATCTCTTTACCAACTAATGTGCTTCCCAAGTTCTAAGAGTGAGGAAGAAAAGGTCCAAGGGCAAGTTTTCCTGTACTGGGAAAGTGATTCCCATCCCCACTCCAGTCTGTCTACTGCAAGCATGACTTAGAGTTAAGAAAAGCCTTGAAGTTCCAGGGATGAAGAGCGGTGTTTCTATTCCTATGGTACTCATCCTCAATCCTGGATCATGAGACTGAGGGCACACAAAACTTATGAATTACTGGAACTGTTCTACAGGATTTTAATCCAGTAGACAATGACTGGTGACTATCCTGAAGAACATATTTTCTTCAAAAGAAATTTAGTTTAAAAACTTACCAGGTAGACCATTGCACACCAGCTGACAGTAGCAGGACTGGCCTGAGAGAGATTGTCCACTTCAAAAATCACTCTTACCCTACTAGTTAAAGCTATTCTCTCACTGTTAGCTAGGCACAACATCCTGGTGTTGTCCAGTGCAGAATTCAGATTTTCTAACCACAATGTGTCCCCTGGACCATCTAAGACAATCCATTGCCAATCAAAATCTAGAGAGAAAAATGTATCCTTAATGTAGCTGAAAATACTCCCAGTCTTCTTTCCACAAAATCTTATATATCTTCTACTTTCATTTACAAGATATTTTCCAAGGTAGAAAGTGACAGTCTAGAAAATGGCAGAGGTGAATATGTTTATACGTAGCCTCTAATACTGACCAAGTATGAACAAATATTCATGGTAAACACTCATTCGAGGTTTAAACATCGTTTACACATTATTAGCTTAATGACATAATTAATCCCAAAATATGGATAGTGAAGAGAGCCACGTATTTATCTTTTGAATAGTAATGTTCTTGTGAATTGGCCTCTTTTACTCAGCAATAGTTTTTAGATGTGCTGCCACTAAAGAACAGCAACAGAAAATAGATGTCCTTGAGAGAATCAAATTGAGCAAGTGTAGAATGTATCATAATTGAAACCCATTTACTTTTTCAAAACTGTTAAAGTCTGTATAAGCTACAAAACCTAACAAAAGCAAACTAAAAACTACAGAACTTCACTCCTCACACTTCTGAAGGCCATGTAATCCAAGGTCAAGGTACCAGCCCAGTGAGGGCCATCAGCTTGGTTCACAGAAGGGCACCTTCTTGCTGTGTCCTCCCATTGCAAGAGGGGCCTTCTCTTCTCTCCTTCCTTCTTCTCTTCTACTTTCCTCTATCTTGTGTGTTTTAAGTTGAAAGGGCTGGCCCAGGCTAAAACCAAGAGCCCAGAACTCCTTCTGTGTCTCCTGCATGGGTGGTAGGGACCCATGCATGTAAGCCAGGGTGTGCATTAGCAGGAAGCTATATTAGAAATGGTGTAACCTGGACTGAAACCAGGCACTTCCCTATGCAGAGTGGGGAAAGAGAATGAATCTCTTCCATTTGCTCATTCTCTCCTCAAATGACCACAATGGCTGGCCAAGAACATCGTCTGGGTCTGCTGCGTGGGTGCACGGGTCCAAACATTTCGGACATCTCGCTGCTTTGCCAGGTCATTAACGGGGAGCTGGATCAGAAGTGGAGCAGCTGGTACTTGAATCAGCACACGTATGGGATACTGGGGCTTCAGGAGGTGACTACGCCACAGTGCTGGCCCCTCTATTTGGCTCTTTGAGAAACCAATGGCCACTTATAAATTCCAGGGCTTGATTAGTACTAGGTATATGTGGTGATATTATGCAAAGTTTAAATAAACCCATGAGAAAAATAAATTATCGATGGATGGAATATCATTAATTGAAAATGTATTTAAATATGTATTTGCAATTCACATGGGTTCAAAATTTCTTCTATATTAATCATATTTATGAAGTTTGGTAACACTTACTGTGACTTTCTGATATTTTAACATTTTTCTCTATGTCCTTCACAATATCATCATCAATATCTGCTGTATCTGAAGAATTCAGCCTGAAAACCTAAAACACAGAATCAATAATGCTTAATTTTTTTTAACTTGATGGTGATACTTTCCAACTCCAAATAACTACATGTAAATATGCTCTCTTGAGTAATAAAAATATAAAAGACAAAAATGTCCAATAGCTGAAAACACATAGCCAGCATCATATAATGTAACTGAGTTGTGATGGTTCATGTGTTTTAAAAACCCAATTTTGGTATTTTATCCCTGCAAAGAAAGCACAGGTTCAAATAACATAACCAAAGACAAAGAAGAAATTAAAAGTTTTCCAAATTTCTACCACCTGGAGACAGCTACCGACTACCAATGACATCTGGTGCATATTTTTCCTAGACCTTTTATTTATTTAAGAAGATTTATTTACTTTTACTGGAAAGACAGATCCAGAGAGAGGAGAGACAGAAAGATCTTCCATCCTGATTCACTATCCAAATGGCCACAGCAGCTGGATTTGAGCCAAGAGTCAGGAACTTCTTGAGTGTCTCCCACACTGGGGCAGCGTCCCAAAGCTTTGGGCCATCCCCTGCCACCCACACAGGCCACCAGCAGGGAGCCAGATGGGAAGTGGAGCAGCTGAACATGAACTGATGCCCACATGGGACCCCAATGTTGCAAGGGGAGAACCAGCCAACTGAACTATCACACTGGGTCCCCTCAGACCTTTACAACAGTTCTCAAAATTTAGGATACATAAGAATTATCTGAAGTTTGCCAACCTGTAGATTCTAAGACCTCATTCTTACAGATTCGTTAAAAAATAGGTTTGGGATGAAATCCAGAGATTTACATTTTTAATGTGCTTTACAGGTGATTGTAGTATACGCGGCTCTTCATAGTATTCTTTGAGAAATTCTGATGTCCTCATATAGTTAATTTTATTTAGGAGGGTTAAATGTCTCTCCAACTATACTGAGCACTATTTCATCAGCTGATTGGTATTGGTTTCCTTTACTATCAAGGGAAATAGTAGAAAAAACCAACCGTGAGAATCATGCTGGTGGTGCAAGACAGAAATGGAGCAAGTGTGTTCAGCCTTGACCCCGACCTTAGGAACGCAATGGACCATGACTAGTAGCTGTTAATTCCCAATTTCACTGGGAGGCAAGTCAGATTACAGTCTATTTCCAAAAAAGAAAAGGAGTGGGGAGGAGATTTTCACACTTCAAATGGCCACACAAACCAGGACTGGTCCAGGCCAAAGCCAGGGACCCAGAATTCCATCCGGACCTGCTATGTGGGCAGCAGTAACTTAAGCACATGCAGCATCTTCTGCTGCTTTCCCAGGTGCATCAACAGGAAGCTGGATCAGAAGCTGACTAGCTGATATGGGAACTTGTACTTTGATCTGGGATGTTAGTTTCTTAAGTGGTGGCTTAGCCCACTGGGCCACAATGCCATCCCCAACATATTTTAAAAAATAGATTCTATTAGGTTTCTTTCTAAAAGTTTGTGACACTAACAATTCCACCAAGGTCTAATGCAGCTTTCTCACATCTTCTCTAACGCTGCATGTGGTCACTAACAACATAGATTTTGATTCAAGTTATAGAGATCATGATAACAGAGAAACCTACAGAGTAACAAAGTAGATTAATGGTTCTTAGTGAAACCATTTCCTGTGGGAAAGACAGCCACTCTGGGATTTGGAAATTGGGGATTGAAAGCTAGTGATTAGAAAGTTTATCTCAACTGCTTTCCCCTGGCCACAGGCAGGGAGCTGGATGGGAAGTGGAGCTGCCGGGATTAGAACCGGCGCCCATATGGGATCCCGGGCATGCAAGGCGAGGACCTTAACCACTGCGCCATCGCTCCGGATCTTTACTCTGTTAGACCTATCTTCAGACCATAGAAGGTCTCCCCAAGAGGCCACTGAACTTATCTGGACAATAAGACGCTGAACTTTATGCTAGGCATGTGTTTGCAAGCAATGAATCTCAACTGAACTTGAACTATGGTTATGCAACAAGGTGGAGGAATCCACCATGGGGGGAGTGGTATGGGAGGGGTGGGGGGAATCCCCAACGCCTATAAAACTGTACTACATAATACAATGTAAGCAACAATAAAAAAAAAAAAAAGAAAGAAAGTTTATCTCTGGGGTGATAACATTTAAAAATTATATCATGTAAAGGTTGGAAAGTAATGTGAAATATGCCAAGAATCTCTAAATTGTATACTCTCAATGGGTACATTTTATCTGTATGTTTTACCTCACAAAAGTGTTCTAACAAAACTGAATGAGATTTTGTTTAAATTACATTGAACCAATAGCACAAGTTAGGAAGAATTACCATCTCTATAATATTGATGATGCATTGGGTCAGCTTCAGCCATTGTGGCCATTTGGGGAGTGAATCAGCAGATGGAAGATTTTTCTGTCTCTCTCTCTTTGTAAGTCTGCCTTTCCAATAAAGATAAACACATCTTAAAAAACTATAAAAGTGATATCTAGAAGTAGAATAAAACTAGACAACTACTCTTTCAAAGTATCAAAAAGAACATGCGAATCAAAGAAAACAAAAATTGAATAATTAAAACACAATGCTACCATAAATAAACAATAAACTCAAACATATGAGAAGCATTTTAAAATTCTTTGGTATTTTTGATTATAATATTCGTCTTTTAATTATTGATATTTGTTGAAGTTACTGTTATACCAATGGGTTTCTAACGTTTTATTACCAATTTTGATAAGCACTTAACTAATCCATATTAAATAAAAATACACATGCTATGCTAAACTTACATTAGACACATCTGAGATTCTTGAAGTTGGTCCAAGATCAGTGTTCACATAAACATAACTTCGAATCATTGCTGACAACAATCCATCAGTCCACTCCATCGTATTAGGGTCCAGCCGCCCATACAGTTCATCGAGAGTGATACACTTTGGATTTAACACACAGACATCTATTTTCCCTTTTTTGCCGGGAATCTGGGAGAAATCCAATGTAAATTTTAAGACACTAATGCATAGTACAACTATTTAACTGTTTCGCACTGTTATGGTTAAAGGGCTTTGGGAGAAACATTTTATGCCAAGGACAGATTGTAAAGATAGCAATTTTCACAAAGCAGTAAAATTTAGTAAATCAATACAGGTGGATTTGTACTTATGCAGGATATAATTTTTTTTCTTAGCTGTCATAACAAAATATTACAGATGGGGAGTCTTAACAGAAACTGACAATCAAATGGGGAAAAGGAAAGGAATCAACTGTCTGTATTCACACATGACAGTATTCTCTGTGTAGAAAATTACCAAGAATTTACACACACACTTCATGACTGTCAGCAAGCTGACAGAGTACAAGATAAAAACCACAAAGTCAGTTGTGATTCTATGCAACAGCAAAGAACAAACAGGACATTAAAAAAAATAGTTTCGTTTATAACAGCATCCAGAGAATAAAATACCAAGGGGTAAATTTAATTAAAGGAGAAAGATTTGTGTAATGAAAACTACAAAACACTGCTGAAAGCAATTAAAGTTATAAAAATGAAAAGACATTCTACGTTCATCCTGTAGAAAATCTAATACTGTTAAGACGATAATGCCCCCCAAAAGGATGTGTGGATTCAACGGAATTCATAATCAAAATCACAATAGCCTTTTTTTTTCTCATTTAAAAAAAATTTTTTTTAATTGTTAATCACATTGTATTATGTGATATATTTTGTAGGCACTGGGATTCCCCTTACCCCTCCCACAACCCTACCCCCATGGTGGATTCCTCCACCTTGCTGCATATTCACAATAGCCTTTTATGCAGAAATAGCAAAGTCAATCTTCAAACTCTCATGAAATTTGCAAGGGATTCTGAATGACCAAAGTAATGCTCATGAAGAAAAAAAAAAGTTGTAGAACAAAGTTGGAACTTCCCAATTCCAAAACCTATCATACAGCTATACAGTAATCAAAAATCACCAATCCTGGCATATGTACCCAAATACAGAGTATTGGAATAGAGCAGAAAGCTCACAAATAAACCCAAATTTCTGTTGCAAACTGATTATCAAGAAGAATGCCAAGGCCATTCTGGGGGAGGGGGAAGAGAATGAACCAACAAATGGGGCCAAAACTGCATATCTACATACAAAGGAATGAAGACATACCCATTTTGTACTCATGAATAAAGATTAATTCAAAGGGAATCAATAATAAGTTAAAGAGCTCAAACTATGAAGCTCTTCAAAGGAAACAAGAGAAAAATCTTCAAGTCACCAAATTTTTCAATGGATTCTAGGGTTTGATATTTAAAGCATAAGTGACAAAGAAAAAAATATATATATAAATGCTTTCTCCAAAAGGATGACTCTTGTGCATCAAAGGTGCATGGTCAGGAAAGGAAAAGGTCACAGACCAGACAGAAGTATTTACAAATCATGTGTCTGAGAACAGCTTTACACCCAGACTATGCAAAGGACTCTTAGAACTGAACAACTAAAAAAAGGGAACCTTATTTAAAGACAGATAAAGAACATGAACAAATGTATCTCAAAGAAGATATGTAACTGCTGCCACCTGGGATGCTATTGTCCTCTGTGGCTACTGGTTCATCTCTGGCTGCTCTATTTCCCTTCCAGCTCCCTGTTCATGGCCTGGAAAAGCAGCAGAAAATGGTCTAAGTGAACGGGCCCTTATCACCCATGTGGGAGACCTAAAGGAAGCTCCTGGCTTCAACTCTGGCTGTTGTGGCCATTTTCAGAGTGAACCAGAGGTTGGAAGATTCTCTCTCTCTCTCTCTTTCTTTCTGATTCTCCTCCTTTTCCTATAGCTCTCTCAAATAAAGCAATATTTTAAAAAGAATACAAAAAAGAATTCAATATTCATTTGCCATTAAAAAAAGGTATATAAAAACTATAGTGGAATATAGCTGGCATCCCCTGTAGGTACTGGTCCACGTCCCAGCTGCTTCACTTCTGACCTTGATCCCTAATAGTAGCCTGGGAAAAGCAGCAGAGAGTAACCAAGTACTTGTGCCCCTGTCACCAGTGTGAGAGTCAGGGAATGAGACTCCTGTCTCTTGGCTTTGGTCTGACCCATTTCTAGCCAGTATAGCCATCTGGAGAGTGAACCAGCAGGTGGAAGATCTACCCTTCTCCCTGCCACTGTCTGTCTCTCCCTTTTTCTATGCAACTCTGTCATCCAAACAAACACATATTTTTAAAAAGAATGGTGACCCACTACATGAATTCCTTTAACCAAAATGTTTCATCCTAACTGAAACACACAACCACAAACTGAAAACTTGACTTTTAAGACTTGTGCAATGTATTTCCAGCAATATATCTTTATATAATGTAATTGAAGTACACTACTTGAATTTGTACTGAATGAAAATATATCATTACTACATAGGAGCTAGTCTATGAATCCTAGGATAATTTAACAATAGTAAATGTGTCAACATAGCTTAATCACATTAATCAAATAAAAATTAAAAAGTAGATGCCAAAAATCATTTAATAAGCTGCAATGTTCAAAAGTTGAAAGAAAAGGAGAATAATAATCTCAAAAGCATGATAAAAAAATTTATCAGAAACCATGACAAAACATCGTATTAAATGCATAAATATTAATTGCATTCCAGAGGAAATGAGGAGCAATTTTATAGCTAACATGGTTTTTGGAGAGTATATCAATAAGAACATAAGTTATGTAAATATTGGAAATAAAACTAATTCATTTCTATGTCGAAGATTACTCAATTTTTAAACAGTAAGGCATCTAGATATGAAATATACAGTTCAACAATTTTATTTTATACTGAAAATAACAAGTTTTAGATATGAACTCACTATAATGATTCTTCACTACAAAGTTCCTAGCAATAAATTTAACACTTATGTAAAGAGAACATAAAACACTAACTGAAGTTCAGAATCTGACCAGGATCTAACCAAATAAACAGTTTATTGAGTAGATCATTTACCTTTGAAGCAGACTGTCTTTCTGTAACTGACAATAAGTCAGCAATTGGCAACAATATTAATGCATTTTCTAAAATTCTCCGGACTGTAGTCTTTCCTCCACCTGTTGGGCCCACTAACATCACACCAACGCACACCTGGAACACAATTTACACATGCATTCATATAGTTGCCTGTATCAACTGTGTACCGGCCAGCTGGGCCCGTAGCATGGACACTGCGAGGGTCAGGGAATCAGACACCAACAGGAGACCAGTAGTGGTGGAAGAGGCCTCTCTCGGCCTCCCTTTATTCAGCCATATATACCTTTCCCCCAAGCCTGTAGCAGAACAATTGGATGCTAATGAGTCTGACAGACAAGGTGCCACTAGCCTCCAAGCCATTTCCTGCAGGAGCCAAGCTTAACAAATGCTAATCAACTCCTCAGCCTACAACAAACTGACCATCTTCTCCAATTTATTCTTTACTTCACTGTCACCTGGCTTCTACTTTCACTGACAAGGTTAATGCTCACATCACCAGGAACACAAGTCAAAAAAAGGATGTGCAATCTTCTTAGCAGAGAAGTGAACACAAATGCTTTGCCAAACGGGCTAATCACAGAGAACAGCAACTTCAAAGGAGGTACAACTATGATGCAAAATATTTTATAGTATGTTTGAATGGGTTTTACAACTATATTGATGGGGTGAGGGTCAAAGATGAACCTGCTCAGAGTTAAGGTGAAAAAACACATAATAAAGACTTGGGAGCTAGCTAATCAATAAACTACTTTGTTTTAAAGAATAACAAGAATAACAAATTGCTCTATTTCCCCTCTGGATCTTACCTTTGGAAATCCATGCAAATAACTGCCAAATGCCATACTACACTTACCTGAAGTTGAGCGTAAAACTGTATGACCTTCTCTTTCTGGGATGGCCAATGTTGCAGATTTAATTGTTGTGTTGCAACACATATTACTTTCTAAAAGGAAATAACAGTAATTTAAAATCTACTCTTAATTGAACTTTTTTTTTAAAAGAAAGATTATTATTTTTATTGGAAAGGCAGATTTATAGAGAGGAGAGACAGAAAGATCTTCCATCTGCTGGTTCACTCCCCAAATGGCCACAACTGAGTCAATCTGAACTTAGGAGCCAGGAGCTTCTTCTGGGTTTCCCACATGGGTGCAGGGTCCCAAGACATTGGGCTATTCTCCACTGCTCTTCCTGTCCATAAGTGAAGAACCAGATAGGAAGCAGCCAGGACACCCCATATGGGATGCTGGTGCTTGGAGCTGGAGGGTTAGCTAGCTGAGCCAACGCACAGGCCCCTTCTAAATTGAACTTTTACATTTAAATATCCCAAACCTCTCTTAACTAAGTACAAATTACTATCCTTCGGGTAATAATCCTGTGAGAATAATGAAACCATTATTTCTCTCTTGAAAAAAGTGTAACACCACATTTTATGTTCACAGATCCCTGGCAACATAAATCCTTCTCCAAACTAAGAACCCATGTTTTAAGATACATTTAGACTATTGCTCACTGGGAGCAACTAGTTCTTAATACCCACATTGGATGAAAATATAAAGTGTCTATCTTTTGTGGTCCTAATCATCATAAAGTTGTAAAATTTGCATATTTAAATATTTCAGTGTTAAGAATATGCTATGGGCCCGGCATGATAGCCTAATGGCTAAAGTCCTCTTGCCTTGCATGTGCCAGGATCCCATATCAGCACCAGTTCATACCTCAACTGCTCACTTCCCATCCAGCTCTGTGCTTGTGGCCTGGGAAAGCAGTTGAGGACTGCCCAAAGCCTTGTGCCCTTGTACCTGCCTGGGAGACCTAGAGGAAGTTCCTGCCTGCTGGCTTCTGAACAGCTCAGCTCTGCTTGTTGTGGCAATGACAGATCTTGGAGAGTGAACCAATGGACAGATCTTTCTCTTGTATCTCCTTCTCTCTGTATATCTGCCTTTCCAATAAAATAAATCTTTAATAAATGAGAATATGCTATGACGGCATATAAAATTTGCAAGAATGAAGACATGATGAGGTTGTACAATCAACTTTTCCAGGTAGCTACAACTTGGAAAGATAAAAAGAGGAGGATTTACTCCAGTGTGGACACAAATAGCAGCTATGCCCACGGACAAAAACTGGTTTGTCCGATCTCCTGTTCTGTTTTTCATTGCTTTCATCCCTGCAGTGTGATAGAGTAAAGCAACAGTATAATACACTTAACAGGATAGTACAACAGAAAAAAGTAGCTCCTATGACAAGACCAACTGGAGGTGATTAGCTAGCAGACTCTTTAACCATAAGCTCTTTCAAATGGAGCTGATGAGCTCTCCCACTCAAAGCCCAAATTTTGGATAGATTTAGATGCAGGGGTTATGAATTCTCTTCCTCTAATTATATAAACCTGGAAATCTCACAGGTATGAAACAGGAACAGCATGGGATACAGAGATGCACAGCATCAGAATCAGATTTCAGATAGACCAGCCATTGGCTAAACATTTCCACACATTTGAAATAAAGTCACATCTTATACAATATTTGTGGCTGTATGTACTGTCCACTAGAGCCAGCTGGATGGGAAAGAGTGTGTAGTTGACATGCTGGGATGTGGTTTTGGTGGTTTCTCAGTTAAGGGAACCACCTGGACCCATCACAATTGCCTGTTTAATGTAACTTTGATGCTTGAATTTCAGGTGAACAAACTCTATATTTAATGAGATACAGTACTTTATGGGCAGGTCATCGCGCAGGCCATCAAATGCAAGGGTGTTCATTTGGCCTAGCTGTTGAGCCATCCCAGCCATGCACTGAAGTGCCTGGGTCAACATGTAGCTCCACTCCTGACTGCCGTTTCCTCGTAAAGCGGATCCTCGGGTGTGGAAGTGATGACTCAAATAATTCGGTAGGAGCCCAGGATTGAGTTCTGGGCTCCCAGGAGTGGCTCATGCTAGCAGTTATTTGAGAGTGAACCAATGGATGAGTGTTCTCTATGCCTCTCAAAAGAAAAGCAAACACACTAACTAACTAAAAAACTGGGTTACTCCAAACTTAGTATTGAAATAATTGCAACTTTAAATTATGATCTTTGTAACACTGCTATGAATTCTATACTACAATCTGGTAACAACTTACTAAGCTGTTAGTAGGTTACATATTTATAAATGTGAAAACAGGCAAATGGAGGGAATAGCAGAATGGACTCACATGATTGTATAGAGAACTTTCCTATACATTCAGACTGTCATAATGAAGCCAATGAAAAGATGGATTTGCAATCAAGGCTCAAAAATAAATCAGTAGGGATGCAGTATTGTGGTGCAGCAAGGTAAGCCTTTGCTTGCGATGCTGGCATCCCGTATTAGAAGGTCCCGCAGTAGCGTGCTGGTTTGAGGCTTGGCTGCTCCATTTCCAATCTAGTTCCCTGGTTATGCACCTGGGAGTCCTGAACTCGAGTTCTGGTTCTGGCATTAGCCTGCTGAGTCCCAACCACCGTGGCTATTTGGTAAGTGACCCAATGGATGGAAGATCTTTCCCTCATTCTTTCCCTTTTGCTTTGTATCTCAACTTATCATCAATGCTCATTTTAGGAAACTAGCAGATTTTGTCCAAATAAACAGAAACTTGCATACCATTAAAACACTAAAATATAAATAGAATAACATGAGCCTGTAAAAAAAATCCAAATAAATCAATGCAAAATAGGCACTTCCTAAATAGAATGTCAACTATAAAAATAAAAATATAACCAAAGAATATACTAGGATTCAGTTGCCATGTCTACAAAATAGGCCAATACACCAAACAAAAAAAGCACATTGAGATCACCAGCCCTAACTCTGTGGAATATTATAAAAAGACATATCCCTGCATCCCTGCCTTCCACTGTGCTGGTCTTGGATGTAGGCAGGGATCTGAAGAGTGCCAGGAATCCACATGCTAGCATTTAACAGAGACAGTTAAACTCTATGGAGATTGAGCCAATGGCTACAAGCTGATGTTGATAGGATTACAGGGCTCCACTGTGCCAGGGTTTTACTGTTTCAGTCTTTTGTTTTCACAACTATGGCTTTGTGATTCTCAAAGCTCTCCCTTCTACATTGAAAGGACAAACACATTATCTTCATCGGACATTTGAGAGAATTGAGAAACAAGCTAAATAGCAGCCTTCCTGGCCCAAGGATACACAATTCATCTGGCCATGGTGTTCTGAAAACTCTTGTTGTTCCCCAAAAGGGAAAATATAAATGCCCAAGTATTGTTAAAAATTCTGATTTATTTTTGAAAGGGAGAAGGAAGGAGACTGTAAGTCTTGTGTCCACTGGTTTACTCCCCCAAATTCCTGCAACAGCTGATGCTGGATCAAGCTAAAGACAAAACCTGGCAACTCTTCAGTCTGTTTGCTCCTCATGGGTGGTAGGGAGTCAACTACATGAGCCACCCACAGCTGCCCACAGCTTCGGTGTTAGTAGCAAGTTGCAATCTGAAATGGACTGGGCAGTTGTACCAAAATATGATACAAGGACCCCAAACACCTTACCTAGATCTTCAAATAATTTCATCCCTCAAATTAACACATGCAAAAAATATTTCTGGAAAAAACTGTAGTATTTAGCGTATTAACTTAATTGCTAATTCATGGCTAAATAACTCATGCTGATTTTTAAAGGTCTTAATTACCTCCAAGGCAGACGGATTTACTTTTGTGGTTGTCACTGAAGGAAAAATATCTCCTATAATCATTTCAAAAAGTGGAATATCTTCAGGAGGAAATTTTGGTAAGCTAGCTTCTCTTATAGCCTTGGTAATGACCAGTGTCTCGGCTGCTTCAGACGCATCACTTTAACAACAGAAAATAAACAAGTTAACACATCTATCTGCTGACATTAAACATCATCCAGGGGAGGGCCAAAACTAGGCTTGTTAAGCCATCTGGTTGTCAGGGTCACCAAAATAATACTAAATAGAACGTACAGCCAGGCATGCAAAGAAACAGCCAACACCATCCTTGGCTCTAGGGAACAGTTGGTGCTGGCAGCTGGGACGTATCCCTGATGCTACCATTCCTGGTACCTGGCTACAGATGTTGCCATGGCTGTAACCCACCAGAACAGGTTCTATATGTGTCTGGTTTCCTTTTTTACTGTCTGCATGTTCTGATTTTGACAGCTGTGTCAGATTTGCTAAAGTTGGACATCAAAGTCACAGCTACAAAGCAGTTTGGAAGAGCAAGCAAGTGGCTTAATGGATATTCACTAAGGAATACAACCTCAGCTGCGGCTGATTGGAGCACGGCAGTGACCTGGAAGAGTGATGCGAGGGTCAACCGACCTTCCACTCAGAGGAAGGCTGAGGATTTTCAGTTCAATGAAACAGATGATACTAGATACTGCTAAATATTTTCAATATATTCAATATTTTCAATCTGCAGTTAGTTGAATCCATGGATACAGAACCTGTGCATGTGGAGGCCACTGTGTGTTTATGCGGGCTTACATCCTAACTTGTTGCTCTTCTGGGGCTAGGGTTGTGCTGTAGCATGTACACCTGCCACCTGTGAGGTTGGCAGGCCATATGGGAGCCAGTTTGTGTCCTGGTCTCATCACTTCTGATCTAGCTTTCTGTTCATAGCCCAGAAAAGGCAACAGAAAACGGTCCAGGAGTCTGGGAGACAGAAATGAAGCTCCAGATCGTGGCTTCAGCCTGTCCCAGCCATGGCCACTGCAGTCATCTGGGGAGTGAACCAGCAGATGGAAGCTCGCTCGTGCTCTCTCTTTTTACCTCTCTCTGACTCTTTCAAATAATCTTTTAAAAAAGTTTATTGCTTTTCTAAATGGACTTTTATTATGTTTTTCCTTACATGAAGGTTCATGTATATACAAGAAGAAAACATTGCTCTGGGGAAGCATACTGGATAACTGTGCATATTTCCTTCCTTTCGTTGTATTCTTAGGTAGTTTCTACAGGTTTTCCTGTGACACTCTAGCTACCGGTTTTTTCCCATTACTGAAAGTTCTACAAATTACTTTCCCAGTGACACATAACTCTCTTTGACGTAACATTCAATTCCAAATTCAACGTACCTTTGAAACTGCTGTTTCTCCTTTTCAGCAATTGCTAAGACTGTCTTCAGAAACCGCAAGCCGAAATCATAATGATCCTATCAAACATTGAAGAGTTGAGTTATATTATATATGTGCCGTCTAAAAAAGGTGAAATCAGAGAATCTAAAAGTTCAATCTTTGAACTTCAAAGAAAGAGTAACAGGTTAAAAAACAACTTTAACTAAAAGTTAAAAAAATAACAATTAGCATCCCAATAAAATTTTCTTTCAACTAGAAAGGGGTAGATTGAAGCAATATTAGTAAGAGAAGTGGTTTGGAAAAAAATGTGGCTACCTGATCAAAGCATTTCGGATTGGAAACAAATAATCATTAATTGGCATCAGGAATACTTGGGAACTTTATGGAAATTCTGATTCTTTAGCTCCACAGACATAGAATACAATCTCTACAAAATTCATAGAAAATGCATATCATGAACAAACTCATGCATTTCAAAAAAATTTTTTTGTACCCAAGTAATTTGTACTGACTTGTCCTAACACACCTGAATCAGATCTAGTTTAAGGCATTCAGAAAACTATCAGTTTAAAACGTGCTCCTGGGCCCAGAGTGGTAGCCTAGCGGCTAAAGACCTCGCCTTGCATGTGGTAGAATCCCATCCAGCTCCCTGCTTGTGGCCTGGGAAAGCAGTCGAGGACGGCCCAAAGCCTTGGGACCCTGCACCCACATGGGAGACTTGGAGGAAGCTCCTGGCTCTTGCCATTGTGGCCGCTTGGGGAGTGAATCAACGGACAGAAGATGTTTCTCTCTGTCTCTTCTCCTCTCTGTATATTTGACTTTGCAATAAAAATAAAGTCAATCTTTTTTTTTTTTTTCTTAAAGTGCCCCTACCAGAGCAACAGGAATTCTGCTAAGATTAGAGTGAGAGTAGACATCAAACTTATGGCAAAGCTTGGATGAAGGAGTGTGAGATCACTGATGCTTAAGAGAAGTTACAGGAGCAAAGATTCAAGGCAAGCACTCGTTTATGAAAGGCAAGAAGGAACAAGATGATGTTGAGGATGGTGCTTGTGACAGGTTACCCAAATGAGTGAAAAAAGTTAATATTGTTGGTGCCGTTTACTAGAGAGGCTCGGAAATCAACAGCAGGAGAAAAAAAAAAAAAACACTGTGCACCTCAGACATACAGACTAGGTCAGGTTGCAGATTCTGACTGCAATGTTCAACGCAGCCAACTTTCTGTGTGCAAATGTTGTACTCAGATCAGCTGGAGATATGCACAGAGCGGTCAATGAAAGCTTTAAGCAAGCAGGATCAAGATCCTGATGCGAAGGCTCCTGGAGACAAGACATAAGCAAACCACACCAGGAGGTGAAGTTTCAGTCAAGAGCAGAGGTCACAGCACGGTTTTATGGGATGCTCCAATCCTTTTCCTGCTGGTTTTCTTCTGGTGGGCCAAGAATGATAATGTCTGCTTCTTGAGGAACTATTTTAGCAAATAGCCAAAGTTTAAGCAGAGAGACTGTCTGCCCCCAGACAATGCTTCTGCTCGTTTTCCATGTCGTAAGGACAATTTGTTGAGAGTTTGTTGGGAAATCATCAGGCATCCACCTTATAGCCATGATTTGACTTCTATTTGGTTTCTAGTCTTAGGTCTTTAAAGGACATCCATAATAAAATATTCATTCATGAAAAGACCGACATAGCAAAGTTCCCAAGATCCTTAATTCTTCAAGGATGGACTGATATCATTGTTTATGTTGAAAAACAAACTTTGAATTTAATACTACTTTTGCATTTAATAATTTGTATTATTTATTTGTACTTTGTTATTATTCATACTTTATTATAAACTATTATTCTATATAATTACTTTGTATATTTTGTATACTTTGTATATTATACTTTTGTATAAATACGTCGTTATTTGTATAATTTATATTATGACTATTAAAATAACTATTAATAATTTGCAGTAATACTATGTATTTAATAATTTGTATTAGTACTTTTGTATTTACTAATACTTTCATATTTAAATGTAATTCTTCAGTTTCCTGTAAACATTTTGAAGTCTTCTCATAAAATTAAAAACTGGGCTGGAGAGTGGGGAAAGAAATGCAAAATAAGCTTTGAAACCTCTGCTTTCTATGTTAGCTTTCTTGTATGGAATATTATGATTTCCAGGTTTTGAGGAAATCTCAATTTGGGATCTTGAATGACTTACATCTTGCCTAACGTTGAAATTGGAACATAGACTCAACGTGTTTGTGGGGACTCTAGCTCCATTATTTATATTTTCCATTATTTGTAGTATCGTTCCTGGATCAACATCAGGTAAGTACTACTGAGGTTATTTCTACATGTTTTTATTCTTATACAATCACCTTGAAATACTCTACCTTTTGTGAGAGCTGTTTGTGAGCTAATTCACAAAGGCTGACCAGCTTTCCAGAGAGTGATCTGGAAGCCTTGAATCCAGCTGAAGACATAATGGTTTCAGCAATCATTCGATAATCGGGCACCATCATTGCCACTGGGCGAAACAGAGATCCGAAGTTTTGTGGGAGCTCTACTCGACCTGGGTAACTTAATAGGGGAAAAAAAAACATCAAAGAGATCATCAGTTTCCCATATTTCAAACAGGGAACCACGTAGCTTACATGCAACCACCTCCCCACTGTCACCAGATAATTCCATCAACTTTTTATACAACCTTTCTCTGAAAACTGAGTTTTCAAGATAGTTTCTATTTCACAGAGCTTTTTGATTTATTTCATTTTGCCTATGCCTCTCCCTGATATCCACCATGGAACAGCTTCCTTATGATGCGCTGGACCATAGCAGTGTTCAATCAGGTTTTATTGAACCTGCCCCTCCTCCACTCCCTGAAACCACCATTTTCTTATTTCTTCTGCCACTCATCAGCGTTTCTGCCTGGGTTCTCTTTGTGACACACTGCTGATCTTTTTCTTTTTCTCTGGCTATGCATGAAGTGAAAACGCCCCTTGGGCAGAAGCTTCCTGTGGGGCTCATCCACACGGAAAGAGGCCGAGTTGCAGTTGTTCCTACGTGATGTGGTTAGCGGACTGAACTCAGACTGGTGGTAGAAGGTAAATGATTTTGAAAAATCAAGCAAACGTCTATCCGTGGATAAGATTTTAGAAAAAGACTATGATCTATGTCTACTCTCACCAGACTCACCAACACTTACCCAGGTGTCATGGTGATGAATATTGCACAAAACATATTGATACGAATCTCTTTTCCTTCCAGTACAAACCTGTGAGATAGGATTCATCACTGAGACACTGGTTTTGTGTAGGCCAGAGAATGCTAGAATTATAGGTGAATTTAGGAACTCACCAAAGGCAATGCCACATCTAAACCAAAACAGAACATGCCGGGAAAAACAAAGGCGAGAGAAAGGAGAACACAGATGTTCATCTCAAGCCACAGCTGCGATGCCCGGTGGGATCCAGCCATTAGTTGATCACAGCTAAATCTTTTGGGTACATATCTGAGCTGATTTACCCAGGGAAAAGAATCCAAGGAGATCTGTAGGAAATATCAGGGCTCTGCGTGGATGACACAGAAGAAAGCAGGGTGGGGCACATGGTGGCATGTTTTAGCATGGAAAAGAGTCTACTTCCCAAGTCCTCCCACCCAGAGGGGCAAAACTTTGGGAGGACTGTGACAAAACTTTCAGCAGGAATATCACTGTTGGTACCAGCAGTAGGGACAATGGAGAGTCCGCAGTGCTTTCTCAGGTGGGCAAAACATGAGAGGAATGTGATAAGATCTGGGGACCTCACCAATTAAAATGGAGAACATGTTTTAGGAATTTGAGTTAGCAAAATGTGGGTTATTGTGACCCCCAACTATAACACTAGATTTGTAAAGTCTGGAATACACATTCAGTTTGTACAAAAATCTCTGACTAAAGCCACAAGTTACTGAACGTTAGCTTGAGCTAGAAATGTTAACAGAAGTTCTAAGCCATCAAATTAATTTATATCCATAAAGCAAACTACCCAGATTCCTAAATTTTATCTGAAAACATGTTTATTGGTGCATCAAAAACATCGGTTATTATAACATAACACCGTTACTACTTAAAAGCATATGTATAAAAAAAAAACAAATCAGCAAGAGAAAAAGTAAGCTTCAGCTGTGTGGTAAATATTTTTTCTACATATAAAATTAAAGAAAAAAATCCAAAAATATTGGTTTCTTCAGGTATAATCTCCTAAGATGAAGAGGTAAGATTATTCAAGTTGATTGAAAATGCACATATATGTTTGCATAAATCTCATCACTGATCCAAAGACCATTCCAAAGTTGGACACTCATTTATATTTCTCTACTCTGGCCTAAAACTATATGTATTTTTTTTTAACATAAGATTCACTTTCATTTATTTGAAAGACAAGGTCACAGAAACAAGAGATTGAATCTACTTTGAAGCAAATCTCCATTTTTACCTGTCATTTTCTAACTTATGTATGACAGTTACGGCAATCATGGTGAAACCTCACTTAGTATTCAGTTTATTTCACCAAGGACAATTTATAGACTTTTCCTAAGGTCTGAATTTAATGTTTAAAATGACCTACAGTGAGGTGGAAGCACATGACTTCACTTGGTCACTTTGGTCTCAGTAGTTTAGGTGACAAATGCTAAAGTGTGCCATCCTTTCCTCGATATTGGTCATTCCCAAAAGCTGAACAAACATTTACTAAAATATCTGATCTACAATAAGCTTATAGTTTAGTTTTAGCTGATGAGCATGACAGAAATTTATCCTAATTTTCTTTCAACTCCTCTCTATATTCATAAATGTTATCCATGTGCCATTGGGAAGATCAAGCATGAGCTAACTGACACCAGTGAAATCGGTCATCATGTGTTATGATGGAGTTGATTAATCCTCTATAACTTTATATATTAGAATTTTGCTTCATTGTTATTCTCCTTCCCTATTTTTAAATGTTGTCCCTTTAAGCCTTTTTCTCTCTTTTTAAAAATCTATCCTGGCTGCTCCACTTCTAATCCAGTTCCCTAGTTATGGCCTGAGAAAGCAGTAGAGGATGGTCCACGTCCCTGGGACCCTGCATCCACATGGGACACTTGGGAAGAAGCTCCTGGCCCCGGGTGTTGGGTCAGCTCAGCTCCAGTCATTGTGGCCATCTGGGGAGTGAATCAACAGATTGAAGAGCTCTCTCCCCCATCCCTCTTGCTATAGAATTTGCTCCCCAAATAAAAATAAATCTTAAAAATATATATACATATAATCTGTAGGATCCAATGGTCAACACTATTATCGGGTACTAAGGATAAAAAGAGGAATAAAGCAGATAAACTTTTTAGAAGAATTATGACATCTTTGTTATATGTACATTTTATATCATTTGTCAAGCAAAGCAAACAGTGAAGGAAAGTGCCATTCCTTTTGATACGTGCTATAAAACAAAAACAATAAAACACCCCAAATAAAAAAGCTCTGAAGACCCCATTTAGAGAATACCTGACAATAAATAACTAATCAGCAAACATGGAATGAATTTCCCTTCAAACAGTGTAGACAGTATTCAACAAATACCTGACGGAAGAGCCGGCTTTTGCACACTTAATGGTTAGGATCTGGGAGGCCAAAACAGAAAGAACTTCCACATCAATTCGATTGAAGGCATCAAAACAACACCATGCTCCTGACTGAACCAGCCCAAAGAAGAATTTTTCCACAGTCTTTGGAGGACAAAACAGGGTGGTGGGAGAGACAGGGAGAGAATGAATGAGAGCTTGGCTGATTACTGAACTGCCACAAAGGTGGGAGATCTCGCTGGGATATCAATGTGGACACATCTTGCCCCAAACAAGGGAGCACTTGTGGCATTTCCTCCCCACAGGTACTTTTTTGATAAGGCTCAAAGCAACAGATGGTTAGCCTCTGGACAAACCAATTCCTTTTCCTGTCTCTTCTAAGAGCCTTAGCCCACAAGAACAATCTCTTGGCACTCTCAGGAAGAACACGCAGGCGGTCAAAGCCGCCAACTAGAGCGGTACAGCCCGGCAACTACCAATTATTTCGTAGTGCTGCGTACCTGCACCCCCATCAGGTTAGCACTTAAAATGACTTTGTATTTAAAGTGTTACTCTCGATTATTTTATATAGTTGTATTCCATCTAAGATCGTGCTTGAAAAGGATTAGCTGCCAAGAAAGATTGAAAATCACTGTTTTAGCAGTTCAGCTGAATTAAAAGCATAGAATGTTTTAAATTTCTATTACATTCTAGATGCATGCTCTATTTAAAACTAGTAACCGAACTTATGGTTCTATTACTACTAAGTGACTCTCAACATTTTTTTCTTATTTCTTTATGTGTACATTTTTTTTTTCTGGAGCACAGATGTTGAAGCTTTACCTTATAATCCAAATTCTCGAAACAGTGGAAGACCACACAATGCTTGCCTAAAGCCTGAAAGATAGAAAATACTTTAGTATAGTTCTTGAATTATGCGACAAAATTCCAACATCAAAACTGCCAGATTAGTAACATGTGCCCTTTCGAGAGACTTTCTGCAAGGTAAAATTGACAGAGATTCAAAAAACTTGGTATGATACAAATGTACATGTGACGGTTTTACTATTTTGCACGCATGTGCACGCACACGCGCACACACACACACACACACGATCATTCGCACGCCAGTTAATGCTATTCCAAATGCATTCAAAGCGAATGTGGGCTTACGGAGCTTGACCATTCAGCATACAATCGGCATTTAAAAATCAATCCATAAGTTCACTGAATTAATGGGTGTCATTGGTAAAAGCAATGAATGTTTCAACAACAGGCACAGTGTCAGTTTAGGGTATCATTGAAATTTGTGTGACAGAAAAGATGTTTTTGAAAGACACTTACTTTGGCTAGGTCTTTTATAGTCTCTGTTTTTCCTACACCTGTTGGACCAGAAGCACAACCTCCTAGGTTCAAGTGGAGTGCTCCCAGGAAGGTTAACCAGCATCTGTCTGTGAGGGGCGTAATGACCAGCCTGGAGGTACAGCCCAAGTACTCATAGCCGTAAGCCAAAGTGGCATGTCCTTGAGATATGTAGCATAACTTCTGCTTGTCATCCCACTTGTACTGTAAATGTCTGAAAGCAATATTTTAAATGCTTATTATTGGGGTAAAATTTTCATTCAAACAAAGAAACATCAAGATTAAAAATGAGTGTGGACTCAACACACTGAAATTGAAAGAGAAGAGCGGCAGGATTAGATCAGAAATGTGAGAGCTCAGAAGACGCTACACAGGTAGGTGGTTTCCCCTCCGTGGTGAATGGCCTGGCGGGCTCACACCACATAAAGGCGATGCCCACCTAAGGGAGGATTTCTATACAGGTCACTCCGAGGAGGTTTGGTTTCCAGTCAATAGAAGCACTCATCATCACCATCTGGATCCTTCTTAGAAGCGTCCTTGAGAAAAACGCTCTTTACATCCAGAAACATGATTTTCTGCAGACTCAGATTTCCACTGATTGAATGAGCATGGTAAGTCAAATAGCTAATTTTAAATTCCGTCCTCCACATGAACTTGAGTTAAACTGGTGACTTGTTTGTAACCTCAAGGGATATATTGTTTTGGCTTTTGTCTGTGTCCCTAGCAGTGCCGACTTATGTCTCAAAATAACATTTTTAGGGCCTAATCAATGAAGGAATGCCAAAGAATATTTTTGGAAAGAATTTTACATTTGATAATTTTTAAATGTCATGGGAAAAATAATGTTCGTTAATAGCTTGGTATATCTTTCAATTGATGATGTCATGTGATAAGCTTATATACTATTCAAGTCCTTTTAAATGCTTCCTGGAAAAGGTCATTTTATAACTTAATATTCAGAATAAGTAAACTTTGAAAATAGAAAAATGAAATATACTCAAAATTTGGCAAGCTCTCAGGGGAGAGAGCATAATCTTAAGAGAAAACCTTTAAGGGAAAATTAATTCAAAAGTTTGAAATGTCACAATTATGATAGGAATTTTTATTTCCTTTTCATATCTTTTCATCAACAGTGGCCCTCTTTCACCTAAACTTGTATTTTTTAACTAACTGCCTCTGGCTAGGGGGAAGGAAGCTGGCTGGAAAAGCTTTACAGTTTGTTTCCCCAGCCTACTGTGTTCTGGAAGAGGATCCAGCAAGAAAAACATGCTCCTTTGGCTGAGTCGCAAAAGGGAAAACTCAACTGTGAGAAGACAGAAGAACGAGGGAGAGAAAAAAGAATAAAGTGATCAAAGTGATACTTGCAGTTTGCTTAGGAATTTTGGTATACACTCAGAAATTTAAATGTTTTCAAAATTTGAAGTCAAGGATCCTTTTATCTCAAGATCTGATGATGAGAAGTTATTTAATGGAGTTACAATTTAGATTCACTCACCTTGACCACTCAAAGTCCTCTGCCTTGAAGACATTTCTAAGCAGTAAATTTATCACCAAGTCTCTGCAGTGAACATACAGGATGAGCAAGGCCCCAAGCACGGCTTTCCTTCGAGAGTTACAAGCATCCCGCAGCATCAGTTCTGCAAGCTGTTCTACACGACCTAGCACGCCGGCACGGACTTTTTCCAATGCTTCTTTTGGGTGATAACTCATGAAACTTTTAATGCAGTCGGAACAAAACATGATCTGACTCTGACAAAGAGATACATATAGAACAGAAGCTTAACTTTTCATTTTGCATTAAGAATGTTTCCCTATATGTGTCATATATACTGACTGAGAAAATGTTTTGAGGGCTTAAAATAGAATTTTGATGAATATTTACAGAGGGCTTATTCATTTATATTTTCTAATCTTAGATTGCTAATTCCAACGTCACTAATTAATAACCTGTCAACAATAACAAAAGAGCACTCCAAGAGGAAATCGGTGTTGCTTTCTCCATTGATCTTACAATATACCCAGAATCCACTGTGTTTGTAGTCACAGAAGGCATGGGACAGGCAACCTGGTGAACTGGTGAACAGTCTCGGTTGCTAATTCTGTCCTTTTCAAAGGAGACTGTAGATTTGCAGATCACTGATCAACAGGAAGGTGGAGCCTGAGCTTGGGACGTAGACAGGAACAAAAGCCGACTCCAGCAGCAGCAAACCTGGTAAAGGTCATGTCTGTGCTGTTGCCCCTGGCACATTTATTCTAGATTCCCAGCCTCAGGAGAGAAGACCCAATGGCCCAAGTCCCCTCCCTGGGATATCCTGGGTAGGCGGGAGGAGGAATTTTTTCAGTGAAAGAGATTGGGAACCAGAGTGTTCATCTGCAGTGGAATTCTTAATGACTGTATCTTGAGATGAGTCTGTCTGGAAAGCCTCATTGGCCACAAGTATGTTTTATATTCATTCAAAGACAAGTTCTAGTCATGTAACATGTTCAGAAATGTGAGATACAAGAGGGATGTAAATTGCCTTCTGGGCAACAGAATTTGCAGTAGATAAGGCATATGTGTGGGGAAAACTTGGGCATAAGTACAGACTGAAGCTGATAGTCACTCCTGTCAAGTATTGTTTGGAAACACTACAGACTGCCTCTTAGTTGAGCATGTTTCAAGGACTAGAGGTGCAGAGATCTTTTCTTGATAGAGAAGGTTTGATTATTTGAATTTCCTATTGAAATGTGCAGACTGATTCATTATCACTTTGCCATTTGGTCACCTTTGTAAATAGCAGCTTGAACAAGTCCTGCAGTTTAAGATCTAACAGAGGATAACAAAAGGGATCAAGCATCTCTGATTATGTTAATTTGTATCCACAATCCCAGGCTATTTTACTAGCGAAGTTTTGGAAAATTGTGTTAAGTCAAAGTAAAAAGACATGATGTTATTTTTGTTACGTAAATAAATTACTTATTTGAAAGAATGATGAAGGAAAGGCAGAGAAAGAAATGTACACATTTCATCTTTCACTCTCCCAACAGTTCAATAGCCAAGGATTGGCAAGGTCAACATTAGAAGCTGGGAACTCCATCAACGTCTCCCCCTCTGCATGTGAAGGGCCAAGCTCTTGGGCCGGTACCTGCTGCTTCCCAGGTCCTTTAACAGGAAGCTGGATTGGATGCATTCATCCCAAGTAATCACCCTGTGATGACATTTTAAAATAACCATCATGTAACCATGGCTGGGTCAGGGTGAAGCCATTAATTAGCTAAAGGCCCGCTCTGCATCTCCCACAGGGGAGCCATCATCTTCAGTCCCACAGGGAGCACATCAGCAGGAAGTGGAATTGGGAGCAGAGCTACTGGCATTCCAAGTGGCATCTTAAATACTAAGCCAGATGTCCAGAATGAAGTTATCACGTCTCTCCACAGCCTTTCAAGCCATGCAGACTCCTAGAGCAAAAAATCAGAAAAGCCCCCCTCTCCCTTAGCTTCCATGAGAAAAATCTCCTAATTTTCTTTCTCTTTCCAGCTACTCTTCTTCAGTCTTCTTCCTGGATGCCCCTTCCTCCACCTACTTCTCAAATGATGATGTTTCTTGGGGCTCTTTCTTTGTCCCTCCTTCTCCACTCTGCTGGGTGAAATTTTACTGCCTCCATGGTTTCGACAACTACTTCTCAAAAGAATTGCCAATTTGGACAAGAATCTAAAAGTTAACAGCTGAGCCATGGATAAAGAAAAATATGGTACATACATATACACAGTGAAATACTACTATTCAGTCTTTTTAAATGATGTTATTTCGCCATTTGTTGCAACATGAAAAGAACACAAAAGATTTTTCATCCATAAGTAGAGGCAGATACAATTACAAAAGAATCCTTAGAGGGATGTTGTGGCATAGACAAGACATGGCTTGCAATACGGTTGCCAGTTTGAGTCCTAGCTGTCCAACTTCCAATCCAGCTCCCTGCTAATGGTATGGGAAAGCAGAAGATGCTCCAAGTGTTTGGGCCCCTGCCACCCACATTGAAGACCTGGAAAAATCTCCTGGCTCCTGGCTTCTGCCTGGCCCAGCCCTGGGTGAAGCAGCCATCTGCAGAGTGAACCAGTGGGTGAAAGATTTCTCTCTCTCTTCTCATTCTCTCTTTCCAACTCTGAATTTTAAATAAGTAATTTTATTATTATTTTTTAAAGAACAGTTAGGGAGATGCAACACTGTTGCCTTTGAACATACAGGAAGAGACCCCAGTGCCTACTCAGGAATGCTAAGTGGTTTTGAGAAGCTGAAATAAAGGACATGGACTCTCCTCCAGAGTCTCCAGGAAGGAACAAGGCTCTGCTGACACTTTGACTAGCCCAGGGGCCCCTGAGTTAGTCTTCTCACCTCAACTTCAAAGTTAGTATTTAATTTTTTTAACTCCTCAAGTAAAAAAGAACAACAAACTGGATACAATGAAATATAATGATTCGCCTAGGAAAAATAACCATTTATGGATTATTTCAATATTATGAAAAGTTTGAAACCCATAGGAAAATGAACTTATACAATGAATACCCATACAGTTATCATCTGTATTCTACAACAAACTTTTTGCTGTATTTGCTTGATCATATTTATATCTTTATGTCTTTCCATTATATTTTTATAATTTATGTATTACATTATTTTATGATACACTTCTATAGGCTCTGGGATTCCCTATCCCCACTGATTTCCAGTATATTATTATAATAGTATGGCCCCTCATAAACAGCATAAGTTCATCATCCTGCTCTTTAAGTATCCTGACTTTGTAGGTATGGACAATGGCAGAGTCCATCATCTTATTGTCAAAATATATTTAGCAGTTTCACTGGGAGTCCATCTTTGATTTGGAAGTAGAGATGTATACTGCATTGTATACTCACATCTGTATGTGATAGTCTATTACATGGTTACTATACATCCCCTTAAATGAAAAACCATAAAACAAAATCAACAGGAAGGAAAACAGAAAATTTAAAACATGAAGTTAAATAACAAGCTATTGAATGATCAGTTACTAAAGAAGTGAAAAGGGAAATAAACCTTTTTGCAGAAAATGATGCTACTGTATGATCTATGTGTCACTGAAGACATTGAAAGCTTTTCTGGGTAAGTTATTCTGGGCTGACAGTTTTTCTTTTTAGAATCTGGAATGTGTCACTCCATTCTCATCTGGCCTTTAGAATTTCCTGTGAGAAGTCAGCAGTGAGACTGATTGGGGTTCCTCTATATGTTAATTGACTTTTTCATGTGGATATTTAAGGGTCTTTTCCCCGCATTTAACAAGAGAGCTTCATTATCATGTGTCATGGCGAATAAGATCAACCTTATTGGGAGTTCTGTGTCCCTCGTGTCCCTCCTGTAGTTGTTTTCTAAATCGTTTTCCAAATTAGGGAATGTTCCTTTATTATTTCATTGAATACATTTTTAAACCCAGCTTCTCCTTCTGTGCCTTCTGGAACTCCCATAATTCTTATAGTCGGCCTTTTAATAGTATCTCAATTCTTGTACTTTTTTGCTTGACTCAGTTATTTCCAGCTTTTTGGTTGTTTCTCCATTGTGAGAAATAATTTCCAATTCTGAAAATCTTTCTTTTGCTTGCTCATTCTATTACTGAATTTCATGTCTAATAATTTGGCTTGATCTAGTTTCAGTGCTGCTATTTTGTGTGACACATTCCTTAAATTCCTTGAACTCCTGTATGTACTTCTCATTGTTGTTAAGAAGCTTTATAACAAGTTTTTAATATTTTTTTACCCCTCCCCATTTTTTGCTTTTGCTCCTTTGCAGTGGAGGCATCAGTAACATTCATTGTGCCTCTGTTTCTTCTTTTGTTGTTGGTAATTGCTATTCTAGTTCGCAGATTCCTCTCCGTAGGGCTGGTTTCTAAAGTGTGTTGCCCACAGGTCTATAGATCGATTTTTCTGATTGTGTACCCGGTTCATCATTTGCAGTTACTTGTGTTACTCCCTCCAGCAAGTTTCAGTCCCAGGCTCTTGTGCTCTGCTTCCATCATGGTCTCCACAGACCCAGCTCCTGGTTTACTCCTTTCCACCCATTGTGATACTGTGCTGTAGTCATGTTGCTTGCATAACCTTTCTCCCAGTCTTGGTTTAAGCAGTGCCCAGAATTAGGGAGATGTCAGCTATCCTAAATCACTGGGCTGTCAGTAGTGCCAGAACCTGCTGGCCATAAGGTTTGACATCACTTGGACCTATTTTGTGTAGAAACCATAGGATGTGAAGTCAGTACTATTTCCCCTTGAGACCAGTGCAATGCATTGAGCTGGAAATTAGCTTTCTCTTGACTCAATGCCTGTGGAGTTCACTGACATCCCTCTAGCTCCACAGTCTTTTCCTCAGTACACAAAATGGCACCCATTGTAGCATTTGTGGAGGTCTGGGCCTACTGCCTTAGGTCTGGGGGGTCACCTGAGCCTATCTTGGGTGGAACCTTTAAGATGCCATGTAGATACTGCTTTTCCTGTGGGATCAGTACAATGCTTCGGGCTGGAAATGAGCTTGTTCCTGGCTTAGTACATGTAGAGCTTGCTGTTGTTCTTCCAGCCCCATAGCCTTTTCCTCAGTACACAAAATGGCACACATTGTGGCACTGATGGGGGTGTGAGCCATGAAATTCACCTTGTCCCTGCAACTGCCTGCTTGGGCTTTGCCACTCTGCATCTGTTTGTGGTTGAATCAAGTGAATCGGCAGGATGGGCAGTTCTATGGGTTCACTTCCTGAGCTCCAGGTGAACTCTCCTTCCCGCCTGGCCACTGGTGGAGCGCTGATCCCCGACCATTGTTGGGGTATGTGGTCACTGCAACACCGTTCTGCTGTCTTTGTTGCTTCTCTGTGCCCATGGGTCTTCAGGTATTCCTTTGCCATTGGTCTGCCCTTTCCTATTTCCTGGGATGGCAGCCTCTCAGCTTTGCCCTGGCCAATGATTTTCCACTTGTTTATAAACGTGTCCTTATCCTATTCCACCATTTTGTTTGTTTACTTTCCATCTTTTTAAAATATTTTCATTTCAGAGAAACTTTTACATAATATCAGTCCTGTCATGATTTACTTCCTAAATGCTTGCCTTCTTTGCCGTATGACAACTAAACATTTACATACATACATCAAAGGAACATTAACTTACCACAGTGAGTACCACTTGTCCCAGATGAGTTACAGCCCATAAGGGAAAAACCTGGCAATACCAGTCTTTAATCCTTGATTTACAAATCTGTAAGCAAAAATACTTTGTTATTTATATCTAGTCACTTCTGGTGAAAGAAATGAGTACTAATTACAAACATGAAAATATAAGATTGTAAAACCCACTGATTCAAGTACACACTTACATTTAAAACATTCCCTTATTGTGTAAATCAACTATTTAAGCAAGTCTCATGCTTAATAGATAAAATTACAGGTCTAGTCATTTGTTGGGGTACACAAATATTTTAAAAACAGAATTGGGGATTGTAGTCAAAGTGTAGAATTACTTTATGTGTTCACATTTAAGTTCTTAACAGCTAAAAACAGCCTGATAAGGGTAAAAGATGTTTTATGTAAGCGTGAGAGTGATCACTAGGGAAAAAAACGCATAGAAGATTAAAAACAAACAAATGAATCCAAACATGCTACTGTAGAAAAGTATCAAACCACAACAGACCACAGCACAGGAGGAAGAAAGCGTCAAAGGATTTGCAAAATCCCAGCAAGCAGTGAACAAAAGGGCAACAGTAGGCCCTTCTCAACCACTCTGGATGCGAAAGCTCCACCTAAAAGCCAAGTAAGTGACTGGGTGAAAAAAATGAGCCCAAACAATAGACTTCCTATAAGAGATTCACCTCACCTTTAGGACACACAGACTTGAGTGCAAAAGGAGAAAAACAAAGATTTTTCCAAATGCAAACAATAAGAACAGAAAAAGGCTTTAACCAAGAACAGCCTGTGAGTCCGTCTCGACTGCAAGGATCATGTGGCTTTTGCCTTTCTTCTGTTCACAGTGAATCCACTTATTCATTGATGTATGTTTTTATTCTTGTGCCCTAAGAAATACACACCACTTGTTTTTAGTTAACTACCCCTTTAATGTGCCATAGATTTTTGTTTGCGAATATTTTGTTGAACATATTTGAATTTGTGTTCATCAAGGATACTGACCTATAATCTCCTTGTGTTCTTGCCAGACACACTGGAGCACACTTTGTTGGTAAAATACCCTCAACAATTTAGGCATACAAGGAATGTAGCTCAATACAAAAAGTTCACTTAGGAAAGTATTCCAGTGAATGTTAAACTCCATGGTGAGAAGCAGAAGTCTTTCCTCTAAGCCGAGGAACATGATAAGGATACCTATTCTTACTTCTATTCGCTAAATGTCCTTCTCAGAGCACTTAGATAAGAAAAGGAAATGGATGCATCCATATTAGAAAGGAAGAGGTGAAAAATGACCTGTTTTGCTGATATTATATTATATATAGGAAATCCTAATGGCTATATCAGAAAACTATGAGAACTGATCAACAAATCTAGTAATATGGCAGGATAGAGCACCAACACAAGAAAACATCTTATTCATTTCCATGTGCCAGTAATTCTGAAGAATTAATATGCTTATTATAGCATCAAAAACAGAACACTAAATTTAAATAATGACATTAAATAAGTGAAAGATCTACATATTGAGAACTAAAAAAAAACATAGATGAAGGAAAAGACACAAATAAATGAAACAATTTCTTGTGCTAATGGACTGAAAGAATTAATATTATTAATATGTCCAATCTACTCAAAGCAATCTACAGATTTGATGCCATCTTTTATCAAAAGGTCATTTTTCTCAGAAAAGGAAAATCTACCTAAACATTCATACAAAACCATGAAGACTTGTCTGTTGAACTGAAATTCCCACTGTGAAGTACAAAGTGGATGGAGACCTTAAGTATGATGCCTAGAGTTGATGCTCCTGGGAGGTGATTGAGATCATGTAAGGTCATCAAAATGAATGTTTCATTTTTGGATAGTGATGGATTTATGATAACAGAGACAAAGACCAGAATAGGCACACAGACACACGTTTGTATTCCCTACCCATTGCCCTGGGATTTCCTAAGACATCCTGAGACTGCTAGCAACAAAGCCATTTGGCCCCTTAACCTGCACCTCTGGAATTATGAGGTAAATAAGATCATTTCCATAAGTAGACAGCCTGAGCTATTTTGTTGATAGTAACAAAAAATTAGACTGAGAAAGACTCTAACCATATAACAAAAATCAGCCTGAGAAAGACTCTAACCAAAGTAATCTAAGTATCACATTGATTTCAAAATACATTACAAAATTATAGTAATTAGAATAGCATGGTACTGACATTAAAAAATAGACTGGCCAGAGTACAATACCTGAAAATCACAGACCTATGGTCAACTGATTTTCAACAAAGATGACAACAATATACAATAGATAAAAGTCTCTTGGGGCTAGTGCTGTGGGACAGCAGGTTAAGCTGCTCCTTGCATCATGGGCTTACTGTATCAGAGTGCCAGTTCAAGACCTTGCTTCTGATCCAGCTTCCTGTTAATGCCCCAGGGGAGGCAGGAGATGATGGCTGAATAACAGGCCATTGTTACCCACGTGGGAAGCAGAACGGAGTTCCATGCTCCTGGTTTGGTCCTGGTTCAGACTTGGCTGGTGTGGCCATTTGGGGAGTAAACCAGTAGATTAAAGGTTACTCTGTCTCTCCTTATCTGTCTGCTGCTCTTTCACATGAATAAGTAAAATATTTTCAAATTTTTTTCAATAAATATCTGGAAAACTTTCATTTTCACATGCAGAGGAGTGAAATTGGACCCTTACTTCATATAACATGAAAATCAACTCAAAACGCATCAAACACTTAAACAGTAAGACTTGATACTATACAGTCACTAAAAGAAAACACAGAGAAAAACCTCCACAACACTGATGTGATGATTCTGGTCAGGGATACATCCCTGAAAGTACATGTAACAGTAGCAGGAAGAAATAAATGGGATTGAGTCAGAGCAAAACAAAACAAAACCACCCTCCCCAACCCTAAACTGCACAGCAAAGGAAACTAAATAAGGAGAAAATTCTTTCAGTGAGAAAAAAAATCTTTCAGACTATGCATTCTGAGAGGAATTGTACCCAAAATACGTAAGAGACTCAAACAGCTCAACCACAACAACAAAAATAAGTCAACATCACTAACCACCAGAGAAATGTAAAATAAAACTACAACATGTTATCACCTTGCACATGTCAGAATGGCTATTATCAAGAAGCAGTGAAGTGGGGCAGTGTTAAGATACTGCCTGAGACACCTGCATCCTCTAGCAGGGTGCCTAGGTCCAAGTTCTGGCTCTTCTGCTTCTGCTCTGGTTTCCTACTGAACACCCTAAGAGGCGGATGATGCTTTCAGTACTGGGCTCCTGCCACACATGTGGGAGAACTGGATTGATGGCTAGTCTCCCGGCTTCAGCCTGGTCCAGATGACTGCTGTAGGCATCTGGGGAGTGAACTTGTAGATGGAAGACCTCTTCTTTCTCCCTCTGTCTCATCCTTGCCCTCTTTGAGACTTTCAATACAGAAAAGAACAATGGCAAAAATGCAGAGAAAAAGGAATTCTTGGAGCTTGTTAGAGGAAATACAAATTGTCATTATGGAAAACAGCACAGAGAGTTCTCAGAGGAATCCCACTTTTGAGTATATATCCAAAGGAACAGAAGTAAGTGTGCCAAAGAGGCATCTGCTTTCCAATGTGCACTGTAGGATTATTCACATCAGGGAGATAAGGGAGCAACATCAGTGCTCTCAGAAGGATGGAGAAAGAAAACATGGTAGGAAGGATTAGAAACTGTGCAATAGAGACTTTCATATCCAGATATGTAGATACAATGCAGCATGCATCTCTACTTCCAGACCAAAGATGGTCTCCCAGTGAAACTGTTGGATACATCTACACAACAGGATGTTGGACTATCTACCATTGTCTGTACCAGCAATGTCAGGACACACTTAAATAACAGAATGATGGACTTGTGACTGCTTATGAAGAACTACATTATCGCAATTATGAGGAAAATCAGT